TTACTGGAGGTCTACGAAACTCTAGAGTCGAGTTGCTGAAAATAACGCTAAATAGCTTAAGTGACATATATATATATATATATATATATATATATATATATATATATATATTTATATATACATAATTTTCGTTAACAACGACTGATAAGGTATTGCGGTTAAGATTTAGTTTAATTTTTCTTGTGTTGCTATAATTGATTATTTACAAATTGTCCAAATATTCTCAATATCCAAAAGCTTTCGGCTATTCTTTTAGCCATTATCAAGGGTGATTTTATTTTGATTTTTAACTGTTCAAGTGCACTTTTTCTTTCAGATATTGGGTACAAATATTAAAATTCATGCAATTTTGTGGCATTAGTTTAAATTGGGGCCTCAAAGTTACGAAACGTGCTTGCAGAATTCAAGACGTGGAAGGAAATAAAAAAAAATTAATGACTGTACTACGTAAAATTGGTTTAAGCGTCGTAAAATTTGTGACTTGTCCCTTGAAATAAAACCATCAATTCAATATTGTTTTTTTTTTTTTTATGTGTCCCGTCCCGTTAGGATATGAGCGATCGTCGCTCTCCACAACATGCTATCCTTTGTACATGCTTTTCTCCTCACTATGCTAACAAGTCTCTGTCCTACTGTGCATTAAAACGTAGGCAACAAAAACATCGAGACATAAAAACTTTCAAAATAGCGAAGTTCATCAAAATATGCTATCGTTTGTGGAGAATTAGATAAGCTTCTTCTACTTTGGGATGCATTATAACAGATATTTATTAAGCTTAGCTTAGTCTTCCATTGTACATGAGATAAAAGATTATGTTGTGTCAGTATTCCAACACGGAAGGGTCTACTTGTTTTACGAAGCGATAAAACAGTTATGGAATTTATGTATCTCTATTACTAATATCAGTGGAAATGCAGTTAAACATTTTCTTTCAACCTTCGTTAGTCCCATGGGTTGTTTAATCACCCTCAAAAAAATTTTTTTCCTTAATATTAAGTGTCTAGCATCAGTAATAAGAATTAATATTTTGCCCATTGATAAATAAGATTTGCTACTAATGTGTTAATTATTTCAATATTATTTCGAAAGAGTTATTAATAAATATTTCTTTATTGTAGGGATTATTTCAGTCTTCCTCCTTCTTGCAATGACAATGAGGTCCACTTACATATGATTCCAATTGTTCAGGCTGGTGGACATTATATTCCTAAAATCTAATCTTTTGCTGAAATATATTTTCAATGACTGTTAATACTTTAGTCGTTTTTCTAATGCTATTTATCTATTATAACTATATACGATGTCTGATCATAAAGTATCGGGACTGGTGTTATAAAAAGAAAACTACAATACATATAAATTCAGAATTTAATCTCCTTCTAATTAGTTCCCTTCTAAATTCACACACTTTATCTAACGTTGTTTCTCTTGATGGAAACATGCCTGGAAATCCTTCTTTGGGATAGCAAGTAGTTGCCTCGTCGCATTCTCGTGGATTTCCTCGGCGTTATGAAATCTAGTTCCTTTCATATGGGATTTGATTTTGGAAGAGGAAAAGGGGGCAAGATCTGGAGAATATGGTGGTTATCGGACATGAGGAATGTTGTCGTGGACATAAAACTGCTGCACAAGCCAGGGCCACTGATGGAATCTCTGTGGTGTAGTGGGACAACGACACTCTACACACTTCCTTTCTATGCACTGCCATAAACAATGAATGTGAGCAAGAAAATTATAACTTATTGAGCATGCTCGACAGAGTTCAAAGTCGGTCTGTGCCAAACGGCTTTTCTCTGCATACTGTAGTTCTGTTACCATAGCATCAGTCCCGATACTTCTTGATCGGTACTCATACTCGTAAAATAATACTCGTTTTGTTGTTTCCACATCTTGCTGTTTCTCATTTTCTATGAGTATTTTTGTATGTAAAATGTTAATGGAGTATCGCGTCTATATAGAAATACATAAATAAAAAAAAATAATTATACTGTCATGGTGTAGTGTCCATAAAAGTAAATAAAAATTAATTATAGTGTCAAAAATAATTATAATAAAATAATTATAACATTTATAATTATCATCAATTCACTCTTTCTAAACCAATGAGAATCAACCCCACTTTTCTCCTCTACACACAGAAACACGTGACATTCTCACTATCGGAAAAGCAGTTCACACAGACAGGTCGTTAACACGTGCATCAACGAAAATTTCATTGCCTTTTCCTTTTCAGACCATAGTTTTTTGGGGGTTTTTTCATAGTAACATTTATCTTTTAGCACCCAACAAAAATTCGAGTTAAGACAACCCCACACATTTCAAGTATTTTCCAACTAAATTATCTCGACACTTATTACACACATCTATAAAAAGAAGCATACAATAAAGACTGTATACACTTTGCTTATTGTCTATCTTATAATTCTGTTGGATTGCGATCCATATTTGATCTATATTTGACCCCAAACTCACAATTTTACTGAGTATTACTGTCTCTCGTTTCTCCAACACCAAACAACTATCAGCTAATAAATAATACTCGTTTTGTTGTTCCCACGTCCTGCTGTTTTTTTCATTTTTACGGATATTTTTGTATATATAAATGTTAAGTGGTTTATAATTATTTACCCAGAGTTATATCTCCCATACAATATTTATCATTTTACATGAATTATTTCTTTTGTCTTTCCGTTTCCGCTTAGCGAATTCCGTTCTTTTTCCATTTTCAAGAAGCATGTAAAACTTCGCACCGAACAGACATCTTCATCATTTTATCTATGCCACGCCGTACGCTTGAGCTCGGAATCAAATTTAGCTGCAATAGCCTGTCGGACGTATTTCCAGTAAACCCTTATTTATCTACTCGAAGTACTATTCATGTTACTTTTCGCTCGTAGCTGAATTCCGCTGTCATCATTCTGATATTCCTCAAGGGCTCGTTTACACCTGACTCGACTGAGGTCGACGTAATTCACAAATTTGACGAACATTCTTCTCATGCCATAAATCATATTAGTCTTCGGGGGAAAAGCATGGCGTATTTGTAATCATAATTCGTTCCGCCTTTATTTTTTTCTTTTCCCTCTTATCTCCCCTCTCTAGCCGCTCGTCCCTCTTTGATTTACTTCATAATTAACTTCTCAGGCTAACTGCTCATATTTGTGGCTTTCTGTCATTTGCATAAATCAATGTTCGCCTCTGTTCGTCCCAGCATGCTTCAGGCTTGAAGCGGGAAGGGATAATTAGTGAAGAAACAATATACTTATATATTTCACAACTAAATAATTCCCCTAACGAATCATTCTCTAATCATACCAAATAACCGAGTATGTCCTAAAAATAACGTTTAAAATGATAAAATAATTTGTCGGATTAATAAAAATTTCATTGTAAAATTCTCTTTCTTTGTGTTTAGATACGAAAATATGCAGATATGAAAAACTTTCGGGAGATTTATGGCGAGACGAATTTCGGTTAAAGGTCCAGATCGTTAACGATAGCTCCTTCTGCCCTGGGTGACGCAGGTTCGTATCATAGCGAAGAGCGCAATTTTTTTTTCTAGTAAGGTCTCTCAAACATTCATACCGGTAGATAAAAATAAATAAAATATGCTGTTTAATAAAACCACGCAGCGTCTACTCAAATACGAGTATCCACTTGTATAACGGATGTCGCAGCATCAGTTATCTCCATTTAATTCAAATCTCCATGTTTTTGTTCACCTCTGTTGTAGCGAGGTGTTGAACTCACAGAAGAGGCATGTCACGTGGAACTAGGACAATCTATCCCGGTGAACGAAATAAAGGGTTCAGTTCGAAATTCCATTCGCTTGAAAAAGAGATGGAGCGTACAACGGCGGAAGTGTTGTGAATATGGCAACGAAAATGAAGACAACAGTCCGAACAATGTAAATAGTGTAAATAATTACAATACCTCATCTCAGAAATATAAACAGCATATTTTTTTTTTTATTTTCTATTATAAAGTATGTCTCGTAACTTACTATTTAAAAGATACTTGAAATATTTACCAATCTCAACGCAGGGATAAAATGGGAGATGCCCAGTCATAATTGAACTCATGTGTGCAAGGTACTTTTGAAAGGTACTCTTATTTAAATTACAAGCGCAGTCAGAAATAGACAGAAATTCGCAAGAGAAACGTTCAATTTTGACAGAATTAGAGAGCAAATCATAATTTTATTTTGTTGCAGTTTTTCAATTCCTATCATTCCTTTTTTCCATAATTTTTATTCACCTTCACAAAAAAAAATAAAATATGTATCCCGTGAATAAAAAGGTTTCTAGCGAAAAATTGGTTTTCCGTTTGTTTTTGGTTTTTTTTGTTTTTTTTTTTTACTTTGGTACATCTACCACCCTTGGGCACTTAATGCGAATTTAGTAACCAACGTCTTTCGTGAGCCTTAGAGCTTCAGCCTACAATGACAAGCTAAATTGCATAGCAAGCACAAGAAAGCAAATGCTTACTTCTGCAACGAACATGAATTTTCTCGAGTGTGGAATAGCCCATTTTCTATGCAATCCCATAATTTTATGATGTATCTTCTACGTGAAAAACACGTTTCATCAACAACAATGACTACTATGGTAAGACTGTAAAGATAAGCGAAGAGAAAAGATAAGTATTAAGAAACAGGAAAATGCCGTTAGTAACTAAAATTTTACGTAATTTTATTCCTCCTAAATGACACTGATTGCTGGACAATCTCATCACAAATGAAGAAACTTGAAGCAAAAGAAAGGTCCTTTGCAGGTTATTTAAAGACAGGAAATATTTTTAGATCGTAATATTTTTTAGATAATAATAGTTTAGTGATAAAAGTTTACTAATTAACCCATAACTGGAGGAGAAGAGATGGATTCATACTTTTTCTCAAATGTATTTACGCATAAGTGAATATAACGAACTCAACGGAAGTTGGATCTTGGCTATCCGGTTAACATTAGCCATTATCTATTACACCACCCACACATCCAAACTTACAGCGCCTGGTATTCACAAACGGTCACCCATCTAGGCACTGGCCAGGTTCAGTGTTGCTTAACTTCGATGATCGTACGGGAATCGGTGTTTCAACGTGATGTGGTCGTAAGCCAAGAAGACTTGAGGCAAGAGAGACGCAGTTCTACAGTAGGATGCTGAGAATACCATGAACTAAACATGTGAGCAACAAGGAAGTTTTACGAAAAATGAGAACGAAAAAGAACTATATACAAACAAAAATTATTATACTTAGAATCAGAAAGAGACAATTGAAACTTCTGGACAAATACTAAGAGAAGAAGGCTTCGAAAATTTGACACTCACAGGACATGCTGGAGGCAAAATAGACAGTGGAAAGAAGTGAATAGTCTACATAAGGAGCTTATGTAAACAGTTGGCAGAAGATAGCAAAAATACATACACCGGTAAGAGCTACAAACCAAAGGAAGTTGTGGAGAGTTTTGACGCCCACAAGAAGGAGGGTGATAGTAAAGATACTAATATTTTTAAGAGCTTCCATCCATAGGAATCTGTAAAGAGACATGATTGCCGACTTCCTGAAATGATACGGCACATAGAAGAATTCTTATCAGTGCACTTGATTCAGGAATAAACATTAAACACATTGATCGAACATTATAGTGAGAAAAAACTGATCAAAATTCAATTAATTTGTACATGTCCGGCTGTGGAATTATTGATCCACCAATGGATGCGCAAGTATAAAACTCATACGTATATAAACATAACTGTAAACCAACATTAAGTGTCGATAAACAAGAAGCATTGTCTATTTACATCATTATACAATATTATACACAATCTTAAGCGCTCACTGTTGCGCACGCGCGTGAACATACACACAAAAGTTCATAAATAGATGTAGTCTTGTATACGTTTACGTGCATTCATCCGAATATTCCTTTATTCTATGAACTCTATATCATTTTATATCATCACCTTTTAGGCGATCACGAAGTCGTGTTCTTTACAACATTTTCTCTCTTACTTTGCTTGCTAAATCCAAGATGGTGTACTTTGTGCGAATTTGTTTTGTCCGTTTTAACGTATATTCTACATTTTTATGAATATTTTTTTTTCAGCATTTCGCTATTGGTTAAAGCCCACAAATAATATTCAGTGACAATTTTGCTTCGCTTTTTGTTTGTTTTGGGGGCTTTTTCATAGAAAATCATTCAAGGAGTTGTTTTTCTCGATATTTTCGCAGTTGTGTTGGCATATTCTAGTTTTATTGTTTCATGCACAAATACCGATCGTTGGTATTCTCTTTCACTTTTCTGTCAAAACAAATAATTACAGCTCTTTTTTAAGACAACTATAAAAACATAAAAGACATACAAATCATTAGCAGTAAAATTTTTCTTTAAATATTGTAAAGCTTTGATGATAAAAATGTCAGAAAAAGATGTTTGTGTCTAATAACATATGGCATCATTGCCCTTTCATTTTCTCTCTCTCTCTCTTTCTCTCTCTCTCTCTCTCTCTCTCTCTCTCTCTCTCTCTAACTTTCCTTCCAATTTTCTGTCACTTTCCCTCTCTACATTTTCATGTAACTTTCTCTCTTTTTTCACTCCTTTTTTTCTTTGTCACTTTCTATCTCTCTTTTTCTGTCACTTGTTCTTCCTCTCTTTTTCTTTCTACTGTGCACTATAATCCAGTGTGCATGTGTGTGTGCATGTGTGTGTGCGTGTGCGTGTGCGCGCACGCGCGTTTGTGCGTGCGTGCGTGTGTGTGAGAGAGAGAAATATAAAGAAAAGTTTCTCTCTTTATCTACCTTTTTTGCATGCTTACTTCTCTCTCCCTCTCTCACACACACACTTTGTTTCACTCACTATTTCTCCTCTCCCTCTCCCCTCTCTCTTTCTCCTTCTCTCTCTCTCTTTCTCCCTCTCTCTCTCTCCCTCTCACACACACGCGCACACTTTGTTTCACTCACTATTTCTCCCCCTCTCTCCCTCTCCCTCTTTCTCTCTCTCTCTCTCTCTTTTTTTTGTTCTCTCACTGTTTATCTCTTTCTTTTTTTAATCCTTTCATCCCAAGAAAGGTGATTAAAGTCACTAAGACGCAAGGGGTTACGGACAGTAAAAGAAACAGAAGAGACAATAAAAGAACAGGGTTCAAGGAAACAGAAAAAGTCGATTGACGCGACATTTAAATTTTTGAAGATCGTACTTGACAGGAAAGTAAAAACCTGAAAGAGTGTTCCGCGTGGGAAGAAGACATTGTTAACATAGAACTTACGCTTATATCTAGAAATTTAAACAGTGACATTATGAGACCTAGTTGCCAATCTAGTAATGAATTTAAATACGGGAGATCGAGTTACCAAACATGAAGCTCATCAGAAAAATCACCGTGAAAATATTTATAGAAAAGGCAATGAAATTACGTTACGTCGGAGGAAAAGTGACTGGAGACGAGATCCTGTGTCAAGACTGATACCGTTGCAGATTTTTCTTTGGATTTTGTCAAGACTCTCTAGATATATTGCAGAAGCACCAGATCAGAGGTAGCAGCGATATTCGATTCACAGATGAATGGTAGACTTATAAAGGCGAGAAAAATTGTCTAACACGACATGGTGAACTGACTCTCCTTGTAAGCAGACCCAGCAAATGTATTCAATATATCGCGCATTCTCTCTCTTTTTCTCTCTCTCTCTCCCTCTCTTTTTCTCTCTTTATCTCTCCCGCAACCAAATAAATACACGAACCTGTATTCAAAGCACGAACTAATTTCTACACACTACACTATATTGGACCTTAGAATCTAACCTGAAGCTGATTTTAATTGATTTTATTACTGAGTTGTTTATTTGCTCGTCACACATTGGTTTTCGGCGACCAAAGTAAATCTTTCATAAAAATGAATTTACATCGCCTTCATTGGGAATCAAACTCTTTATCTTTGTAAGAATAATCATGCTACTTTAGCAAAAATCAAGACTTGATTCTTCTTCTATGTACCGTGTCCATTCAGGACGTTGGCTTCAATGACTCTTCACAATTTCTTGTTCTTTGTAGCTCTTAGTATATTTTGTCTTTTTTTCTATCATCACATGTTTTCCATTTGAAAGATTTCACTCTGGTGGCGTTGTTGATCCGTTGCTTCGAACTGACTTTCCTTTATCCATTTAGTTAACGAGTATTGTATGATATAATCTTCCAAAACAACGCCCCCATTTGGCGACCGATATTGTGTATACCTATATTTTCTGGTGTGAGAATATTTGAAATGTTATTTTACTGCTGTTCATAACACAGCTTTTAATCATGTTTTTAAAGCTTCGTTTAAAAGTAGATTCTTTATTTTCATTGTAGGTTGGGTAAGGACGTTTTTGTCCATATGTTGTTCCCTGCCATCCGTTCTGTTTTCTACACTGTCATAAGACATGTTTTCAGTAATAATAGCGTCAGTAGTATCAATATTCTTCTGTCCCTCTTTTCTTCAGTATGTTCTGTGAGTGTCAAATTTTCCCAGCCGTCTTTCCTCATTGTGTGCTCTAGAAATGTCAGCTGTCGCTTTCTTATGTTAAGTATAATTTTCCTTTTTGTTTCGATTTTCTCTAAAACTTCGTCGTTTCTCACTTATTCATATCCTCAACGTCTTTCTGTAAAACCAAATATCTGTTGTTTCAAGTCTCTTCTTGATCTTTGAGATTATTCAGCATTCACTGTCATGTAGTAGGACAGATATCAAACATTTATAAAACATAAAATCTTCGCTTGAAACTCGTTCGTGTTTTATTTTTAAATTTCATTTGAAAGTATTACAAATAGCTTCACCTTTTAAATACAAGTTCTTATATTAACGATAATATTCTATTTGTTGTCTCCCTTTAGAGTGTGGGCACTCATGACTCTTCTATCCCTTATAGTTCTTAGCAACATGTCTTTTTATCATACCACCCATCCAACTTTCCGCCAACCATTCACAAAAAGCTCATTATGTAAGTGGCCCGCTGCCTCTCACTGTCTCTTTTGTCTTCGATATATCCTGTGAGTGTTAAATTTTCAAAGCCCTCTTTCCTCATTCTGTGTCCAAGAAATTTCAGTTGTCTCTTTATAAGAGTATAAGAGTCTTTTTTTCATTTCCATTTTCCTTAAGACCCTCTCAATTTCTGTTACCTCAAGCGTTCTCATGATATTATATAGCAGTTCAGTACGTTTTCTTTTGTCATGAACGAAATTTTCCTGTTTCTTTATACTTTGCTTAGCTTTTGAAGGCTTCGTTTTTATTCTTATGCTCTTTCGGATATTGGTGTCACATGTCCCATCCTCTTTTAATTTCTACTACAAATACAACATACATCTTTATGGTGATCCCTTATCAGATAAGAGATGTTGAATCAATCAAATCACTTAAATTCTGATACGATGAGATAACTCAGATTCCAACTTCTATAATCACCTGGTTATGTTCAGTATATCATCAATATAGAATTACCCTACCGACCTTATTGCAGGGATCATATTGCAATATATATATATATATATATATATATATATATATATATGTATGTATGTATACAGTATGTCACCTGATTACGACAGTCCTGACCTACGATGATTCGTGGTACTCCATTAATCTTTTCGACCTGCAGTTTGTCTCGTACGTACGATGCAAACGGTGCATATTATATTTATTTCCTCCATGTGTTTTTTAGTACTAGATGTGATAAGTTATGTTATAGAAAGGTTTTGTTATGTCCTAGATTATTACTTTATTATTGCGTTAGCATATATAGTGATTTAAGTGTTTATTCACGGCTTTCGTTCCGACCTATACGAAAAATCGCGTTACGATACATTGTAGAAACGGAACTGCCGTAAGTCGAAGACCACACCATGTGTATGTGTGTGTAGTAAATTCAAGAGTCCAGATGACCAACGTTTCTTTTTGCTGTTTTTTAACGACGCCAATTATTCATACAATATGAAAAATAGAAAAAATTGAAAAATTTTCACAATATTAATAGTCAATAGCATGGCCTCTTTTTTTCTTTTTTGATGAGATTTGACCAAGTCTTATAGGGTTTTCTTCCATTCTTCAACGGTTACATGTTCTAATTCCTGAAGGTTTTTTTTC